ACTAGACAAATGGGAGAGAGGTTTCTCCGAATGGGCATTGCATACTTCGCGGTTTCCCACACCGACGGAGGGGTTTTTCTTTGGGAACCCTAACCAGAGCCGTTGACTCAAAAGTCAGACCCATAAGGCAGTTGGGCGGTAGATGTCCAATTGAGTACAAAGACTTCTCCCACCGTCGAGAGGAAGCCCCAAGTACCCCGCTTCTACGTCCATCTAGCGGGGGTTTTCTGACCGGTAAACTGCCCCTCACCGTGTTTGCTTGCTGGAGTGATCTCTCCAGGAGCGGGTGTGGATAAACAAAGGAAGGCAAGAGTTGCCCAAGCAGCTGGTTTTGAGAGACTAAGCTTTGTCTGGCCTCTACCTGTTGACCTTTCAGGCATGATCGGATCTACGGCTGTTAAAAGCCATCCTGTCTGGCTCACAGGGTCATGGAGTCACGCAAGCCTTCACACTATGTCAAGATGCAGTCTCGTCGTGATGGGATCCTACTGAGAGTGAAGAGTTGATCAACACAGTCAGTTCCGCTGCGAAACCATCTTGGCTCGGGTACTATTGGTGGCTTAGAAGCGGTTAAGGAGTATCCCCGCAAAAAATTAGCCGTAATATCACTGTAGTTAATACCTCTATAGTTTTCGCATATTGATCTGTCACTCTTTAAGGAATAGCCACTAAAAGTGAAGTTGCCCAGTCCTTTGGAAATACTACTCTCTCTCAAATGGAGTCCAAAAAGTGCAGCGATTCGAATAGAGTTGGTAGGCAAGCTTTGAATAGCTCTGGAGGCATCCCGTACTGCCTATGGAGTCTTCGGGATTTTCAGAGAAGTGACTGCATTGGCGATTTCTGTTCTAATAGGTGGGTCATAATTGATGTTGTATTTCTCCGAACTCCTTGACACTTGTGGACAGCCAGTTTGGTTTGATTAGCGGTTGAGCAGTCGCCTTTGGATTTTCTGCTCCTTCCGCTGAATGAATTGGCCCGAGGTGCCGCGAAACAGTCGTGCCGATGCCTGTCTCTTTTTCTGCGACGGGCTTAAACGAAATAGTTCTCCAAAGTCGGTTGTGACGGTTGCAGCTTCCCCGCCGTTTGCATTGGCCTTCTAGTATTGTTTACAGTCCTCCTTGGCGGAGCATGTACCTTTATGATGTAGACTACGGATTTCAGGAGAATGGATCAGCCGCGGCTTTTTCATTTCTGCGAACAAGTGCAATGTACGCTCGGAGATTCAGTCACCTTTGTAACGAAGAGTTATATCTAACTGCCCTAGTGCCGCTTCTCTGATGACCATTTTCAGTGTTAACTACTGTGCGTCAACGGGTTCGTTGTCGAGATGTCACTGCTTTGTTTGTTGCACGTTGGGCGACAACGTGAGCAGCGGACATGAACAGCTTGGGTTCTGCATCAGTTCATAAGATCAAGTTTCCTCAAATTCGGTAATAAGCAGCGGAATATAAACCCCAAGCATTGTAATCTTTCCGCGTAGGTGAGGCAATGTAATCTCCTGACTATCTTAGTGGTAATCCTTTATGGACGCTCCAACATCTTACGCTCACTTTGAAACCATGGACTCTAGGATCGGATAGATTAATCTGTCTCATTCGAAATCAACAAGGTTTGTTTGCCAACTGTATTGGTTCTGGTAACTACACTATTACACCACACAGGAGATATTTGTTTTTGCAAACACCCGACATGGATTCTACATCACATATCCTATCTTACCTTTTACGTTCATCTTGGTTTCAGTGTTGACAGTGTTTTTCTATGCTGGCTACTAAAGACGTGCCCATCAATCAACAAACCTATTTGGGTCTTTTATCGGATGCCTTGGTGTGGCAGTTTTAAGGGGTGTGCATCATAGTTGCACAGATCTGGTGCAACCTGGGTCATGGGATCTGGATTGAGGAATCGCATCGGATCACGAAAACACGAGCGTGTTACCGATCTGGACTACGGCAAAGCTGGTCATTACCGAAGTTGGATGGTTGTGGTAGGGTTCCGGTTCCAAATCTCGGGACAGAGCGCGTGAAAGATGGCAACTTATTCACCTGATTAGCAGTAAAATTGGTTGGAAAGAGGAGTTTGACTTAGTACATCGTGAAGCCTCGTTCGGTTCTCTTTTATCAGGTTTCACTGCAAGCCTAAGCGATTCTGTTATAAGATCTATATTCAGACAGCGCTGTAGAATCACAAAACAGTTACATTGAGTCAATAATAAACGGATAGACGAGAAATATCGACGGAGTCCATGAAGGCAGACAATGTAAACAGACCATTCTATTCCATGACGGCATTGTCCAAAGGAGCTCAACTGCTTGGGAAACACTAATCACACTTTTTCCCGTCACTCGAGAAAGACTCCATTCTATCACTAGTTAAATGCAAAGCAAAATAGATAGACGAGGGGCCATGGGTAGTATACACATTCCGGATGAAAGGACTCAGTTAAACAAAATCAGACACTAGCAAGATACCACACTTCAAAATCGAGTTTTCCAAATGATAACCGCAATTGTAAGTAAGAACAAGGGCAACTTACATTTCCATCATCGTCACGATGTTTCTCATGAAACTTCAAGTGCACATTCAAGTTTGACTTTTTGTTAAAACGCTTGAGGCAAATATGACATTCGAAAGGTTGTTCCCCCAAATGAATACGCAAGTGTTCGTTGTAGTAGGCTGCTTTGGTGAAGCGTTTCCCGCAGTATTCACATTCGAACCGAGCCTCTTTGTGAATCAGCATATGCATGCCGATCTGCGTGACAATCTGTATACAAGAAAAGATGATGATCAAATAATCGGAGTACACTGAGGTCATCGTCATCTATTAAAATGTATAGAGCAACCGTGTCGAATAATTTTACTTTACTTTAATGCGGCTGGCTCCTTGGAAAGGATAAGCCGGCTCCAGACATGATCATGAAGTTCATTGGGAGTTTCGTACGACAGACGTCCCCAGCGTCACTCGGCGTATTTTATTTTGAGTGCAACTCTAGCCTTTGCACAACCAAGTGCGAACTACGAGGCAGCAGGAAGTAATCCCCCCACCTCGGAAGTGAGGAAGTCAATGGCCTTAGTTTTAAAAGGCCAGTCATATCGACCTTTTTAAGACACCGTCTTTGGGCGTATGCGGCTTTTAAACAGGAGCCAGGTGACCAGTCTGAAACCCACCACACCCTGGTAGTGCAGCCGTTGTTTGCTCGCGACTGCTTACTTGTTGCGGTATGCCACAACTCATTCACAACTAACCTTCTTCAGTGAAGGTGGCCCCTATCCACAACCCGGGGATGCGCCTGGTAGCATTCAACTCTGCTCAACCCGAGGGTATCCAGGGTCGAATACTCTGCACACCTCTGAAGTGTGAAGTGATATACTAATACTAGGTATTGACAACACTTGTTTCGAAACTAGATGATCTGGAATTTACTGACGTTAATTGTTCCCTCAACCAAGGTGGTTGTGGTGAATCACGATAGAACAGTGAAACAGTCACCGAGTAATTGGGAACCTATCAGTGAAAAATTCCTTTAAACAACGAATATAAGTTGGTGATGTTGGCAGTCCTACATCACACTTAATTCCTATTTGGTTTTCCTCATCCACCTCCGGGAAAAACTCTTGCCCTATTTTTCTCTCTCATTTATTAAAGTGCAGAACTTCTTATACTACATTTTTTGTTTGCAATTATTTTACCTATTCACTGTAAAACTCGTAAACTGCTGAAAATTCACCTTTTGGGTGCATAAAGCATTTCTTGACTGACTGAAGTGTGAACGGGATTACATGGAGATCAACAGATAACGTAGAGAAAATACACGATGAACCGTGTAGAGGGATTGGGTTGTGTGTATCGTCTTCCTGGTTGAGGTTTAAATGGTCCGAGTGCTAGTCAGTGGAAGAACTAAAATGCGCGGCAATGAGCCGACAGAAGTGGAATTTTGGCGGTTCATCAAACAAGACTGCGTAAACAGATGTGTATGCACAGCTAGACCACGTACNTAAAATCGCCCATCAAAACAGACTCACTCCAACAACTTAACTACCTGTAATGACTTCGCACACTGCAAGCTGGGCAGCACATAGAGCCATACACTTTCGTGCATTTCGTTGTACGATGACGACAAAACCAGACCATAATTACAAATAATCTCGTGTGACGGTTGCACGAACATAGAATAACTGCAGTTGGATAAGAGTACTGAATGCAAGTATATCACCGTGATATGGGTAATCACTATGCACAGCAAAATAAGTGAACTACAGATAAGGCTTGCATCCAAAGACAACTTCAGTTCTGCGCTCACCTTCCCGCAAATTTGGCACTCGAATTTCTCCGGCCCCAGTTGTAAATGTTCTACACGAATGTGTCGCTTCATTGCCAGTTTGCTCTTGAACGTGGTTTGACAATCTGTGCATTGGTAAAGGCGCGTGCGAAAATGCTTCTGTCGATGTTGGGCATAACACCTCAGATTGTTACACACTTTATGACAAATTTCGCATCGCACAGCACCGCCATGAATCTCCTTTGCGTGGCGCCTTAATTCGGTCTCCAAACGGAAGCGTCTCTGACAGATGGCACATTCGTGAGTCAATTCCTGCATAAGAGTAGTGCGATAGGGAAAACATTTTATTTTACATTTAAGTGATTCACTAGTATCAGGAGAAAAGGAAACAGGACTATACCAGTTAACAAAAACTCAGTAAAAAAGAATAAACTTGGCCCAAAACAGTGGATTAAGTGCCAAAGTAAAAATCAATCAACATATGGAAGCGTAGTGACAAACAACTCATGCTCATCACTGCTGTGCTAAATCTGTAGTAGCTACTGATTTAATTGATGCATAGACACTTCGCTAATCACAAACACAACAAATACGTGATAGCATTGCGTACAGAGATGTTTTTGCACGTCCTTACACGTGTTGTCGAAAACAAACTCAATGCGGAAGCAAGGCTAACCAGGATAGTGTCTCAAAAAGACATTTCATTACAGAAACAGGAAGTTCAATGGAAAACAATGAACAGAACTGGAGTCTACAATATTACCTGCAGGTACTTTGAATTATAATGAAGAAAAATTCCAAGCAACATACTACTAAAATGAAAAACGAGAAATCACCCATTGGGTTAAACAATTCGAATGATTCCACTTACCTGATTGTGCATTCGGTACATGTGATACCGTAAGGAAACGCGCTTCGGATAGCTCAAACCGCAATATTCACAGGTTGCTGGTCCTTGGTCATCCGCGTGATGTGTGCGTATGTGATGGAGGAGCGAAGGCCGTAACCGAAACGCTCGGCCACATTCGGTGCAGCGATGTGCGTATCCTTCGTTGTGCTTATCCATATGTGTGCGCCAAAGACGCCGGTCAGAGAACCGTTCGTAGCAATGAACACATTCATAAATGGACGGTGCCGGATCTTTATGGACTTCGCGCGAGTGTTTCAACACGGTTTTATTGAATCCCCAAAATGCGCAGTGAGTGCAACGGAAGATTGTTTGTGCACCGGCATTTACATATTCACCAGACGGGGCATGCATCTCGCCCAAATGAGTAGAAAGATCTTCACATGTTGGGAAAATATCTCCGCAAATACGGCAGAGCACATCGATTTCTGTGAATATCTGATGCTTCTCACCCAAATGTTGTAAATAATCATTTCCCGTAACCCGGACGATACAAGGACAGAATTTGCACTGAATCCGACGCAGGTTGGGTAAAGAGAAATAATCATCCCTGCTTTGATCAAGATTTTGTCGACTTTGACGCATGTGTTTCACAACTTGAGGTACTCCGTCAGAAGATCCTAAAGGTGGATGCACAACCCCATGTTCAGCCCACTGATGGAAATAGTAGTTGTATTTGGTGCCAGAGAAATTCCCGCACACATCGCAGGTCATCAGTTTATCATATAAAGCCTTTGTACTTTCTTTCGTTTGATCTGGATCCTGTTTAACCAGGCTAGCTTGAACAGTAGTACTATTCTGATCTCCTTGCGTGTTAGCATCATCTTTAGGAACTTCAGCTTCCTTGGAGGCCAAGTGTTTCTGGTAATGCGATGACAATTCGTCCATTGAACGCAAAACTTCGTTACAAAGAATGCACTGCAGATGATACAAGGTGAAGTGTCGCAGCACTTTCTCGCGAGACTGCAGTCGTGATCCACACATGCCACAGACACAAGTGTCACTCTTTCCCTCCTCGAAATCGTCTAGCGTGAGGAACTCACAACCATCTGAGGTTGGCTTATTGATCGAGTCATTTTTTTCTTTAGATCCTGCAGTTGAGCGTGACATTGGAGTGCGAACACAGAAACTCACTCCATCGCAAAAATCCATGTGTTGTGCGAGCATATCAGCAGTGAGGAAATAATCGCCACATTTTTCACACTGCGGCGCTTCCATTCGGCCAAGAAGCATTCCAGTATTGAACACCTGGGCTAACCCAGCAAGCAAACCCGTTCCTGGTGCAGTCTCCTGTTCCATGTTTTCGCCTTCTTCCTCGTCATCAATATCACTTCCGGCTTCAGCTGGGGCCATGGCATTGATACGTGGCAGCGTTGCAGCGAGAGCGGCTGAGCGAATTGTAGAATGCACCTCATCAATATGCAACTGCCACGATCGTCTGTCTATGAAAGAGCATCCATGAAGGGCACATCGGAATCGTAAAAGACCCATGTGACGCATTTCATGATCTAAAAGTCCATTCGCCGAGCGTAGTTCCTTCGCACACAGCGAACATACTCCCCAATGTTCGGGCAATGGTACGGGAGCCGGTGGTGGTGCATGTGGATTTGCTGCAGCCTCCGCGTAGGCGGCCGCCTCTGCAGCCTCGATATGCTGTCGAGCAAGCAGTTCTGGCATGTGTTTCTGAGCTAAACGGAAGACGATATCATACAGACTAATTTCCACTGGGAGATCATACAAACGATTGGTCACATGACTGACAAAACCAGTTATCACACTACTCATCTTTGCCCTTTCATTGTATGGATAGTAAAACGCCGGAAGTACGGTCGAGCTGTTTGTTTCATCATTAACAATTCGTACGCTAGATGGACATGATTTTGAAGTAGCCACGGCTGTCTGAGAGCACAGCAGGGGTCGCAGTGTATTCGGGAATATTGCATCAAACCGAGCAGGAACGATTTCAACTACACGTTGTATTACTTTTTGATCATCTATTTGGAAGCCAAACAATAGACCGTTAAGCGATACCAAGCGATATTCGGCTGTGGTCGGTTTGAATGAGGACTCCGTCAATTTCAGCTGAGCCGATGATAATTGATCAAACTGTTTGCATGCTTCTGTCCCAAACGGATTGAGACCGATTTTATCCATGAAAACTTGTAAAGTCAGCCGGATGGGTGAATCAAACGCTATCGCCAAAGGAACGCGACGATTTCGATCCATTATTACAAATTTGGCGCAATGAACCAATGGGACTGAAGCAGCAACGTCTGACTTCAAAGGATTCATTACAGCGGTGGCAGCTGCAGTACCCACCGAACTGAGTACCTCCCGTAGCACGACTTTCCGAAGTGTGTCGTACAACAAATCAGGTACGACAAGTAACGAACGATCCTCCATGAGCTCATCTGGATCGGCAGAATGCACTCCTTCTAGTGCAATTGGAACTTCAGGAGTGAACCCATGCTTTTCGAGCAGGAATCTGGTTTCTTCAATGAATGCATAAACACGGAATTGCTCTCCATCAGGAAGTGGTTTTTTATAGGGTGGATGTGCGATGGACTGATGAGAGACCAAAAGTAAAGCATCCGGTCGACCATTTGGCTTTACTAGAAAGGCGTCAAGAAAGTGAATTTGGTCGAGAGGTGACTGATCGGAACGCGCGGTTTTCCTGGGAAAGCCACTCGCATCTGTAGTGTCTGACTTCAGTACAACCCAATCAATTATTTCATCCAAGAGCTCCTTTACTTGTTCTTCTTGAGTTAAATGCGTAGGTCGTCTTTGATCCGTATCACCTGAAGTGTCCTTGGCGAGTGGTGTTAAATCTATGGGTACTTCTGGTCTATCACGAGGGACTTCTGCGCGGTTCCAAGTATCCAACAGTGTAATACCCAAAAGCGTTCCTTCACCATCTGTCATCATAACCAAACGTTGTAAATTAGCTGGCTCTAGTGGACTGATGTCAATATTTGCTTCTTCGCCCTCTTGATGTGCTCTGCTCATTGCAATCTCATAAATTCGCTCAATTGGCGTGGAAATTAGATCAGTAAGCCGCTGGTACAAATCAGAGTTGACCATTATATATTTCAGATCTGGCATATAACGTCCAAGGTTGCCAACACCACTCACTAGATGGTACTGTGAATTAGATAAACCGAATTCGCTGATGACTTCGTTCGAAAGAGCCAATATATTGATATCCTGATTCAACAAGTAGGCTGGTCGTATGATCATTTCTTTGTCAGTACTTTCTATCAATGAAGCAAGTGAAGCTGGGAGGGGATTCATATGACTCAGACCAAACAAAGGTTGATGTACGATTGGACAGAAATAAACCACACGATGCTGTAACTGATCGAACGGACGAGCTATAAAAGCATGTAACAACTCAACCACTTTATCGTAGTCATTGATCCGGCTCATAAGACTTTGTAAAGTGGCAGAAGAACCATAGAAAAAGCTTGCGTGTTGGTTACTTGGTTTGCATAATTCAGTTAAAAACTGATCCAGTTGTTGATTGAGTGCATTGGATTTGAGGAAATTTGAATATGCATCCAAATCAGCCCGGGTTTTCAGGGACGCAGCGAGAGCGCTGTAAATGTTCGACCCCCAGCTGGTACCTGATCGGGCAGCCGCTTTTCGGGGAGTTTTCGCAGTCGTGCGGCCGACCATGACACCACCAGAACGATTATTTGCTGCAGTTACTCGTTTTTTAATCGTATTATTGCGAAGACTAGAAAGCATACTCTGAGCATCAAAGTCGTACACATCTTTACGTATCTGATTGGTTTCATCCTCAAACAGAGCCATGGGTGCACCGTTAGCACCGTCCTGTAGGTCAAGTTGCTCGGCCGCCAATTCATCCTCGTCCTCCTCGTCTTCTTCATATTCACTCTCTGATTCTCCTGCTTCGTCTTCGTCCGTCGAACCACCAGATTCAGGCACAAAATCCCTTTCTTTAATCCTCCCTCGAGTCCTCGCTGCCGCTCCTCTGCGTATTACACCACTGGTTGAGAGCTTTTGAGCAACCTCCTCGTCAGATGGAGCATATTCGCTATCGTCATCAGCAGCATCAACATTTTCATCTTGCTCTTCCTCTTCTTCGCCAATAAACAAATCTTCGTAAGAATAAGGGACGCTTTCTGATGCACCTGCCAGTCCAGCTTTTGTTGCTGGTTTCGAAGCGGAAATCCGAGGTGTTTTTGTAGCGGAACCATTCGGTGTAGTCTTACTTGAAGTGCGACCCCGGCCCCGTGGTCTGGGCGTCGCCGGAGGTTCAGAGACAATGGATTCGGGTTCATCTGCTGGAGTCTTTGATTTTCTAGGCCGTTTCACACTTCGTTTTGGTGTTGGAGTGGACTCGGTAGCAACAGGATTTTTACGCGGGCGACCTCGTGGTCTACGAGCCGGAGTCACGGGCGAAGGAATCTCCAGTGACGCTACTCCTCCGACCTCGTTTTCTTCCACCTTCATCATTCTGAAAACTAAGAACAGATAATGATCACTAAACGAAAACATCAAATGCAATTATGGAATAATTAAAACCCAACCATTTCATAACCAAAAAGAACTTTATGTTAGTCTCTCCCTATCCTGGTGATATTGGTCCTGTTATCCCCCCTCTTATGTTTTGTCTGTTTTTATTGTATTTTGCTTTACTTTGTTGCTATGCTAAAGCCCTATATAAACATTGTATTTTCTGCAGTATGCACCATGTTGAGATGCAGCGCAATCGTCCTGGACATAAATCGTGCAGTACTGCCATATGTTTTTTTCTTTTGAAATATATATATATATATACTCAGTGAAAA